GGCTTTCCAAACTCTTCTTGAATTCATCAGTGATCACACACTGACTTGAGAATTAAAGGTGGGCTGCATTTGAACTTCGATTTAGTGTACGGAAACGAGTTAAATCATTATGTTTCGTAAAGCTGTCCATATTCATTATTATTCTTACACTGTGGCAACGGATCTGGGAAAACCTTCCAGCTTATTCTCCGCACCTCCTCCCAACCGGTGTCCAGGCAAGGCACCTTGTCAAACAAAAAATAGTTTCCTTCACAATTCACAGCAAAGCAGGTCACTGCAGTACGGTGGGGAACACACTGCAGTGAACGTATTCACAGTTCTTCTATAAAGCAAACAAACTTTTTCAAGCATTATATAGCTTCCAGACTATGAATTGATAGGATATAGTAGTGTAGAAAAGGCATTCTATTAAATATCAAGAGAGGCTACTATCTGTTTGCCTTATGTCTGTGCTAGAAGAATTCAAGTGATATTTAACCTTTAATACGGCTGCGCGCCGTCATGGATGTTCAACAGAGCAAATCGACATTTAAAGAGCAAATTAGTTCTTTATGCTAATTATTAACTGATAGAGCATGCAAGCGATGCTGCCCTTGGCTCAGACGTGCGAGGCGATGAAGATACTGAAGAGAAAAGAACTAGTCTCGTCTCCCTCTTCTAACATCGAACAAAAAATATATTAGCCTAATGTTTACGAACGAGTTCGTACCTTTTTCTGTGTTCGTTTTCAGAAACATTCGTACAAATTTCTTACTTCCCTCTACAGCAACTGGAGGATTTTGTACAAATAGAGACTTTCTTTCGTCGCCGTCACTAAAGCTCCGTACTCTCGTAACCTTCCAGCACCCGCACGCTGTCAATGAGCCGTGTACCCCAACTTTCTCTAACACAAAGCTTGAGAAAGTACAGAAGCTTGCACTCTGGCTACAAGAGAGCCAGCTTATAAGGAGCCTTTAAAGTGATCTGGCCATTTGAATCGACTTTGAGAAGTAATTCTCCCAGAATCTGAAATTAAGAAAATTTAAGACATGACCACAACATTCAAGATACCCGGGAACACTGACACGGGTCAAAACTGGACTGAGAAGAGGGACGGGAGGACCAGGCTACAGAGAGAACAAGTGGGACCAAGACGACGATTGACAATGTATTATGAAACTACTATGAAAGTAGCAAATGCAAGACCACGAGAGAATAAATAATCAAGATTTGCAAATTACATAAGTTTTGCACGTACATGACTAAACCCCATTGTGTTATATGATCACACAATCCAGAAGGCGGATGCAAGGCGATATAGGTTGCTTCTGGCCGCATGTAGACAAGTACACTGGCTGTATAAATTAGCCAGCCAGGAGCACACGGTGTAGAGAGTGGGAATACATATGCTGGGCACCTCCACACAACTAAATGCAACTCTCGCTACGTTACTAGACGAGAGCGTTGGGTGGAGAGTGAGCGAGGCGGTCACTTGCCAGCTATAATGCTCTCACAGTATATGTAGCGCAGCAACACGTGTACACGTACACGTACACACACACACACACACACACACACACACGTACACACACACGTGTACGTACACACACAATCAAATGTTGATAGGGCAAGACTTAATTTACAGTCTAAAAGCGGGAACAAGGAGCCAAATTTCAACCCTCGCAAGCACGTCAGTCGAGTGTCCACCTGCATTAATTTATTAGTCAGGAGAACGCCACGTATATAAAGCCATGGCTCAAAGAATTTTTTCTTCACAGCATTAGCTAGTCGTTTTTTTTTTTTTATACATGGACAAGTATCGCCAGAGTGGGTGCGGGCTGCCAACACACGCTCCACCTGGGCATGTCTCACACACAAAGCGGAAATTTCAACGCAACGTATAATAGTAATCCAAGTCTCGCCTGAAAGCTTTCCCGTTCCCTAATGATGAGCACAACACCGTCGTCGACCTGCAGGACCCGCGCCTCCTCCAGTACGGGATATCCCGCTTTTCCTTCCCAACCGTTTGGTTGTAGACAACAACAACAACAACAACAACAAAAGAGTCTAACATGGTACACGAAGCTTACTTCAAGTGGTGAGCAAAAGATCAGTTGCCGACAACTACCACCATGTGGGTCAGTTCAACCATACGACCATTGCATGCATCAGAGGTAGTTGCCGACTTCCATGATCCTGGGACCGTAGCATTAGAAACTGCAGTTCCCGTGATTACGACGGCAACTTCCAAAGGGCATCTCTAATCTTCCTATTATGATAATCTTGTGGCATACAACCACTAAACCATTCTCAAATACTTTCTCGAGATTTCACCTTGCTGATTCCATCAATTTGCTACCTGGGGAAAGTTTCGCGTGTCTAGGGTCAGAAAACGCATCGCTTGTTCCTCCATTCACTTTAATCACTTTAATTCACTGAAGTGATCTAGAACAATTATACAGAACAGTTCGTTAGAACTTAACTGAAGTGATCTAGAAGTGTTAGTAATACATCAATAATCAGTTTCCACAAAATGTTCTCAAGCCTTACCTTGTTATGCCCGCATGTAGTTAAGCAGGTCAGTTGTGGGCAACGTACTATGTAAGGGGGAAAATAATTCACTTTAATGGGTTCACAGAAGGACCACAAAGCAAACTCCAGAAAACAAGGAAATATATTTTTAAGTGAATAGGCCTTACCTTTGAAACCTTAATATACATTCTTGAACCCAAGAAGGAATAGGTCTTCCGTTATTATTTGACTAACAAGTGAATTTTAAATCATTATTTAAGTGATGTGCAATTCATAAATCTAAGGGTTAGTGTATTACAGTTTCAGATTCCCCATAAAGTCATTCTTTCCATCGTATGTAATCTATTCGATTGTAGTTTATTATAGTCCACATTAGTGTGGTAAAGAAGACTACAGCACGTACAATAGAAACCTTGAGCATGATCTTAGACAATTATCACATCAAACCTTATTGTAGTTCAGAGGTGACCACCTCTGCATTAAAAACAAAAGTTGAATCAGACATGTATTAGACTGTAAATAGCGTAAGCAGGTTAGTACAGCCTAACTGGTCCATGTACGAGGCACGCCACCAGACCTGCTGCAATGCTTCTTAACTGTTATGCTAGTGCTAAATGGGAAGCCCTAGCTGTGGCCGATCCACGCCCCCCTCCACCACTCTTCTATCTCAATTTGTCAACTCTCTCCCCCCCCCCCATGTCACACCCCTCTCCCTCACATGTAATCCCAGTAAAGAGAACCACAATGTCATTTTGTAATTATTACTTTACGGCACACGTTGTATCAATGTAGTTTACAAAAAGTGGTTCGGTTACAAATTAGGATGTTGTGAAAAGATAAAAAACTAGAAAACTATTCCCGTTTCAGACTTTCGTAGTTGTCTGTATTCGGAATAGGAACCAATCTTTCTTAAAGAGGGAGCATTTGGGCTGACCTCACCCAGTCTATGACAGTCCCATACCATTCCATGTGTCATATTGAAAAATTGGGTGATGCTAATGCAACTTTAGACACTCTTATTGTTACTTGGTGACATGTTTTTCTATCTGTCTATCGAAACTATCTTTCCCCGTGTCTGTGACACTCGCTCCCTCCGAGAACTTTTAATATATGCACCCAGCAAAGACACGTTAGTTTACTACTGTTACTTCACTGCAACTTTGGCGTTATATTGTCTGATTTTTTTATTAATTCACGAGGTACATCACCATTAGTGCAGCTGCCCTAGACTATATGAAGTGGAGTACAGTGTGTCAAAAAGCTTAATGAAATTTGTTGAAAAATCTATGGAAAACCAAACCACCATTTCATACTTCATAGGCGTTGTCGATTGTCAATCTGAAGCTCCTGGCCTTCAACCTCTGCCAAACAGTCTCGTATGTATATAATATATGGGATCTTCAGCCGTTCCTATTTACCTTCTCCTCCCCCAGTTCTCTCTCTCCCCTTACATCCTCCCGCCCCCCCCATGTCACCAGTTCTTTCTTCCACATACCCTTCCCGCCCCCCACCCCAGTTCTCTCCTCATACATCCCACCTCCATCCCCCTCCATCCTCACATTTATCTTCCTCTCCCCACAACCCCGATCACCCTATGACAGTCCCATGCCACCCATATGCCATCCTGCAAACTTGCACCAGGCTAGTTCTTAGCCTTTGGCCTTCCACATTTAAGAAACAGGCAGGGATTACATTTTATGGATATATTACATTCAGACCAATCACTGTTAAGTCTGGGGCCCAGGAGCAGAAGCTCTGTTCTTCTGGCACAAGAAAACATCATGAAGGACAGTAGGAAAATGTGGAGCGGTCAAGTGAAGGTAAACGTGTAGGTGTAAACTTGACAGGTGTATCTACACGGAAGGCTGGGGGTTATACCGTGAAGAATTACCACCCCCGCGGGCGAGGGGGGCGGCCAGTATCTCCCCCCCCCCCTCGTGGTGGGGAAGGGGGGGGGGGGAATGGGGGAGGGGTGTTTACTGGTTACCGACATCGTCAATATTGTATGTTTACTAAACTGAACAAGAGTTTGGAGACATGTCGCGCCGCTAACAGTGACTCCGCAGGTCATCACTGCCACAAAACTCCCGTAACAGTCACGTCCAACATGCGCTATATTCGCGTCTAACATCTTGCGTGGGATAACAGTTACGGAAGATCAAGAATAAACAACGAGCAAGAATTTGTCCTTTAAAAAGAAAGAAAAAAAAATGAGAATGCGAATTTGCAAAACACAGCAATGTGCCTTGAACATAACCCCATACCAACCAACACAAGCAAGACGATCACCAGCGCAAAGAGCCAAGCTGGATAGTTTCCTGCTGCCCCATAGCCAGCGGCTCCTCCTACCCGCCGTTATATCTATCAAACTCACCCGTCTGGGAAAGACTCTAGCCAGAAATAAACCTTCCCTCCCTTACAAGACCTGCACGACGCTGACAGGTTCCCCGCTTCTCAGAACTGGTCAAAAACTATACAACAAAACAGACCTGTAGTGACGAGGGCGCAGACAGCGACGAACAAGCGAACGGCGCGGTAAGTCCTCTCCCCTCTCATGGTTCTGGCACACTAACCAACCCGCTCACCAACACACCGTTGTATATTCCAGGCCCGCCCACTCCTCTTGTTCTGCCTCTCTATTGGATGTCATTCGTGACGTCATGGTGTATCCACCAGTCAAGTCCCTGAGGTTCCAAGGGAAGTCACGTCATGTAATTACCTTAGATAACACGGATGACGTCACAACCGCTCCCCCCCCCAAAGAGGCTAAAAAACACATCAGAGTGTGAGTGTGAGAATAGCGCACTATGGTCACCAAACGGGTAATTTTGGTCTGTGTAGGTCACCAGCCGCGGTTGACCCCGCCCACCGCCATGTTGTGACCACAATGACCAAGCCTGTGTGGTCTGGCTTTTTAAAAGTACAGCCATGTTGGCTCACTAGTAGGGGGGGGCCACACTAGGGGGTGGGGGTGGCCACACTAGGGGGGGGGTGGCACACTAGAGGGTGGTGGGTGGCCACACTATGGGGAGTGGTGGGTGGCCACACTAGGGGTTGGTGGGTGGCCACACTAGGGGGTGGTGGGTGGCCACACTAGGGGGTGGTGGGTGGCCACACTCAATATGGTGTAGTGTGGTCACACCCACACAAGACCTACAGCCACCACGCCCAGCTCCTCACACAGCTCTGCCCCCCTGGCTACAGTTACCAGAGCGCCACTGGCCACGCCTGAGGTGCTGCACCCTGGGGGCCGGCCCGTGCTCCAGGGGCGAGTGAGTGAGAGTGAGTGTGTATTCACCTAGTTGTGTTTGCGGGGGTTGAGCTTTGCTCTTTCGGCCCGCCTCTCAACTGTCAATCAACTGTTTACTAACTACTTTTTATTTTTTTCCCACACACCACACACACACCCCAGGAAGCAGCCCGTGACAGCTGACTAACTCCCAGGTACCTATTTACTGCTAGGTAACAGGGGCATTCAGGGTGAAAGAAACTTTGCCCATTTGTTTCTGCCTCGTGCGGGAATGGAACCCGCGCCACAGAATTACGAGTCCTGCGCGCTATCCACCTGGCTACGAGGCATCATCCACCAGGCCTACTGTGTGTGTGTGTGTGTATACTCGCCTAATTGTGCTTGCGGGGGTTGAGCTCTGGCTCTTTGGTCCCGTCTCTCAACCGTCAATCAACAGGTGTACAGGTTCCTGAGCCTATTGGGCTCTATCATATCTACACTTGAAACTATGTATGGAGTCAGCCTCCACCACATCACTTCCTAATGCATTCCATTTGTCAACCACTCTGACACTAAAAAAGTTCTTTCTAATATCTCTGTGGCTCATTTGGGCACTCAGTTTCCACCTGTGTCCCCTAGTGCGTGTGCCCCTCGTGTTAAATAGACTGTCTTTATCTACCCTATCAATTCCCTTCAGAATCTTGAATGTGGAGATCATGTCCCCCCTAACTCTTCTGTCTTCCAGCGAACTGTGGTTTAATTCCCGTAGTCTCTCCTCGTAGCTCATACCTCTCAGCTCGGGTACTAGTCTGGTGGCAAACCTTTGAACCTTTTCCAGTTTAGTCTTATCCTTGACTAGATATGAACTCCATGCTGGGGCCGCATACTCCAGGATTGGTCTGACATATGTGGTATATAATGTTCTGAAAGATTCCTTACGCAGGTTTCTAAAGGCCGTTCTTATGTTAGCCAACCTGGCATATACCGCTGATGTTATCCTCTTCATATGAGCTTCAGGGGACAGGTCTGGCATGATATCAACCCCCAGGTCTTTCTCTCTCTCTGACTCTTGAAGTATTTCATCTCCCAAATGATACCTTGTATCTGGTCTCCTGCTCCCTACACCTATCTTCATTACAATACATTTGCTTGGGTTAAACTCTAACAACCATTTGTTCGACCATTCCTGCAGCTTGTCCAAGTCTTCTTGAAGCCTCAAGCTGTCCTCCTCTGTCTTAATCCTTCTCATAATTTTGGCGTCGTCAGCAAACATTGAGAGGAATGAGTCTATATCCTCTGGGAGATCATTTACGTATATCAGAAACAGGATAGGTCCGAGTACAGAGCCCTGTGGGAATCCACTGGTGATTTCACGCCAAGTGTGTGTGTGTGTGTGTGTGTGTGTGTGTGTGTGTGTGTGTGTGTGTGTGTGTGTGTGTGTGTGTGTGTGTGTGTGTGTGTGTGTGTGTTTACTAGTTGTGTTTTTACGGGGGTTGAGCTTTGCTCTTTCGGCCCGCCTCTCAACTGTCAATCAACTGTTTACTAACTACTATTTTTTTTTCCCACACCACACACACACCCCAGGAAGCAGCCCGTGACAGCTGACTAACTCCCAGGTACCTATTTACTGCTAGGTAACAGGGGCATTCAGGGTGAAAGAAACTTTGCCCATTTGTTTCTGCCTCGTGCGGGAATGGAACCCGCGCCACAGAATTACGAGTCCTGCGCGCTATCCACCAGGCTACGAGGCCCCCGTGTGTGTGTGTGTGTGTGTGTGTGTGTGTGTGTGTGTGTGTGTGTGTGTGTGTGTGTGTGTGTGTGTGTGTGTGTGTGTGTGTGTGTGTGTGTGTGTGTGTGTGTGCGTGTGTGTCGTGTGTGTGCGTGTGTGTGTGTCTATGTGTGTGTGTGTGTGTGTGTGTGTGTAACCCAACACACACATGCAAGCCAAGGTTTCGATTGCTGTATGTCATAACTCTTAGATATTATTGACCTTGAGACAAGGCGACACACGAAGGTTACAGTGACACGAAGCTGTAGTTGGTGACAAAAAAAAAATGCTCAGAAGGAAAGTAGAGAATACAAAAAACAAGGAAAAAGAGAGTGGACAAAGAGAGTAGCGATCTTAACAAATACAACACTCACGAGGACGACATGACCACAGACCTGGGGCCAGATTCACGAAGCAGTTACGCAAGCACTTACGAACCTGTCCATCTTTTCTCAATCTTTGGCGGCTTTGTTTACAATTATTAAACAGTTAATGAGCTCCAAAGCACCAAGAGGCTATTTATAACAATAATAACAGTTGAGTGACAAGTTTTCATGCTTGTAAACTGTTTAATAAATTTAACCAAAGCCGTCAAAGATTGAGGAAAGATGTACACGTTCGTAAGTACTTGCGTAACTGCTTCGTGAATCTGGCCCCTGTACCTCAGTGTCTCTGTGGTTGAGTGCTCAGTAGCTCACTGTATAATGTAACAACAGCTCACTGGCGATGCTTTGGGTTGACCGGACGAAAATGTATATACACATGCTCGCTAGCACTAGGAGGCTAGTGATCGACGACCGGGCCGCGGAGTCGCTGAGCCCCGAAATCACCTCAAGGTAACCTCAAGGTAAGAACGGTCACGAGTCGTTGTAGAAGTCCTTCAGCCATCTGTGACACAACTCAGTAACTCGCTACACTATAATGACAGTATTCGGGCGTTCACGATCACAGCTGAAATACAACAAGAACACATGAGGAACACAACAAGAACACACGAGGAACACAACAAGAACACACGAGGAACACAACAAGAACACACGAGGAACACAACAAGAACACACGAGGAACACAACAAGAACACACGAGGAACACAACAAGAACACACGAGGAACACAACAAGAACACACGAGGAACACAACAAGAACACACGAGGAACACAACAAGAACACACGAGGAACACAACAAGAACACACGAGGAACACAACAAGAACACACGAGGAACACAACAAGAACACACGAGGAACACAACAAGAACACACGAGGAACACAACAAGAACACACGAGGAACACAACAAGAACACACGAGGAACACAACAAGAACACACGAGGAACACAACAAGAACACACGAGGAACACAACAAGAACACACGAGGAGCACAACAAGAACACACGAGGAACACAACAAGAACACACGAGGAACACAACAAGAACACACGAGGACCACAACAAGAACACACGAGGAACACAACAAGAACACACGAGGAACACAACAAGAACACACGAGGAACACAACAAGAACACACGAGGAACACAACAAGAACACACGAGGAACACAACAAGAACACACGAGAACACAACAAGAACACACGAGGAACACAACAAGAACACACGAGGAACACAACAAGAACACACGAGGAACACAACAAGAACACACGAGGAACACAACAAGAACACACGAGGAGCACAACAAGAACACACGAGGAACACAACAAGAACACACGAGGAACACAACAAGAACACACGAGGAGCACAACAAGAACACATGAGGAACACAACAAGAACACACGAGGAACACAACAAGAACACACGAGGAACACAACAAGAACACACGAGGAACACAACAAGAACACACGAGGAACACAACAAGAACACACGAGGAACACAACAAGAACACATGATAACACAACAAGTCCACCACAAGAACACATGAAGAACAGAACAAGAACACAACTGGATCACGACTAGGACACAACAGGCACACAACAGAATTAGAGCAGAAACACTAACATGTACACAACAGGAAAACAACAGGAAGCGGATTGAAAATGGTATTGCAACATGAGCAAAGACCCAACCCTAATTGCTTCTCAACCACATCATTAAATAAACAACAGTTAAGGAACAAGTGACGAAATTTTGCATAGGATAGTACGCATTCACTGAAAATGACAGAGAAGTGTGTGTGAGGAATTCAACAAAAGGATTTAAGAGGCCTTCACAATACAGTGAGGATAATTTCCTGAGCTAAAGGGGGATTGAGCCAAACAAAGCAACACTGGAGGATTTTAAAATAACTATAGACGAAGTAATAAATCATCTGGTGGAGCTAGACTCAACCAAGGCTCTGAGACCAGATAAAATAAGGACTGGACGTGAAGGAGATTGAGGAGTAGTGGAAGCAAGAGACCTGCCAGAGAGTTAGAAGACAGCCAATGTAGTGCCAAAACAAAAAAGGGAAACAGGCAGGAGGCATTAAACTACAGGTCTGTGTCCTTTACTCGCTTATAATGCAAGGTGATGGAAAAGATCACATGAGACAGGCTAGTAGAATATCTGAAGAAGAGGGTCTTTAGAACACAACAACCAACATAAGTTCATAGATGGCAAATCCTGCCTTACAAACTTCTCAATTATATAAACGA